GATTGGGCGGGGGTAGGGGAGGGGGAAGTGCAGGGGGCGGGGAGGAGGAGGAGGGGGAGGGGATTTGGTCGGAACCCGGGGGAGGGTGCGGGCGTGGCACTGGCTGGCCCAGTGAAATGTCGCAGGCGGAAGTTGATACTCAGGGGCAACAGGGGGACGCGCAGGTGCCGCACGGACCGCAGCAGGTCCGCCAGGGGGGCGTGCAAACCGGGGAACTCGATAGATCAGGCCATCAGACCATTGTACCAGGTGATGCAGTTATGGCTTTGGACACGGTAGGGGTTGATGGAGTAGACGATGACAGCCCAGAGGAGGGTCTTGATGGGGATGGGGATCTGCACTGTGATCCGCAAACGGGCGTGGATATGGGAGCGGGGCCGATGACCGTCTCGTCGCCCAACCCTAATCAACTCACGTTGTCGTATCGGGGGGAGGTGTATGTATTTGAGACTGTATCGCCAGAAAAGGTAAGAGGGAAAAAAAAAAGAAAAAGCGGAGAGGAGAGGAGAGGAGGGAATTATTCCCGACCTCAACGAAATTTCAAAAATGGAACTTTAGAAACCCTATGTTTGTGAAAAACAAAAATATTTACAGTTGTAACGGTATGCAATTTTTTTTAAAAAAGAAAAAAAGGAAAAAAAAAAAAAAGAAAAGAAAAGAAAAAGAAAAGAAAAAAAAGAAAACAAAAGGAAAGAAGAAAAAAAAAAGAAAAACGAAAAACGAAGAAAGAAATAAGACAAAAAAAACCAAAAAAAAAGAAAGAAGAAAAGAAAAACGGAATAAAGCAAAAAAAGACGGAAGAAGGGGATTGTTCTTGTCAAAAAGAAAGCGAGAAAAAGGAAAAAGGAAAAAAAAAAAGAAAACTGAAAATGAAAAAAAGTGGATGAAGTCGTGTGGAATTTTGTTTTTAAGTAAACCGAAAAAAGAGAAGGGAAAAAAAAGAGAAAGAGTGGTTTGTTTTTATTGTTGTTATTTGGTAAATTTTCATTGATTGAAAATTGCCATTGATTGATACAAATGGAAATTTAATTGATTGATTCAAATGAATTTGATGAAAACTTGATTTCGATTTAATGGAATTGATTGAAAGTCTGATTGTAAATTAATTTAATGAATTAATTAAATTTATAATTAATCACTAATCAGTCGGGAAATCGTCGAAGTCCGAAGTAGATTGGATTTTGCTTTTGGTTTATCGGCTAATTTTGTTCGGTTATTTAATTTTAACGATGAAATAAATCACTAGTGGGTTAATTGCGCACGTGTTTTGGAAGATCGTTTTTATTAAAAAAATGATCTTTTTTTTTTTTTTTAAAGAACGTTTTTTTAATAGCGGCGCACATCCTTGGGATGACAGGAGTATGCTTCTGGGAAGTATCACTGTTACTTTCGCTATTATTATTTTATTTCATTAAATTATTTGGATTAAGATGGTAGGTTTTGTTTGTCTTTATAATGATTGATGGTGGATTTTGTTTTTGATTAAGTGGTGGTGGATTTTTTTTTTTAAATACCAATTGATCGAGCGACTAATAATGTTGCGTGGTGATTAAATAGGACATGCATTTTTTATTTTTTTTGTTTTATTTAATGCGGCGGTCCGTTTGATGCACACGTTTTCGAATTTTTATGTATTTGTTTTCGAATTTATTTGTTTTTTTTTGCTTTCCTTATTTTACTAATTCCGCAATGTGGCCATTTTATTTTTAAATATTTTTATTCTTGTTTTTTCACACTTTTTCATATCATATTTATGTGGCCGTTTATTATTTTTATATTCGTCGACTGTGACATGACCCATGTGTGGCGGGCTGGTAAATTTTCCTTCATATGATTTTTTCTGTTTTTTTAAAGCAATTTATTTGAATTTTTTTTTTAGTTTTACTTCTTTGAATTCACATTTATTTACAGTTATTAGTTTACCGTGACGTGACCCATGTGTGGCGAGGTGGTAAATTTTCCGTTTTATTATTTTACTGTATTTTTTCCAGCAAATTTTACCGATTTTTCCCCTCGATATTATGGTCCACTGTGGCAGAGCATGTGGGCATTTTATTTTATATCCTTTTTCTTGTTTTTTCATATTTATGTGGCCGTTTATTAATTTTATATCCTTTTTTTCCCTGTTTATGGTTCACAGTCACATAACATGTATCACGGTGGCGGGTTAAATTTTTTCTGTTAAAAAAAAAAAGAAGAAGTATGGTGGGGTGGGATGGGAGGGAAGAGCAGGGACAGAGATACTTGTGAATCCCTTCGGCGCGGCGCTTGCCTGTGCACCGTTCATCATTATCTTTATGAAAAATAAAAAAACCGTTTTTATATTTTATTCATCCCGTTCGTATTCTTTTTCTTTTTGGTTTTCGCTCTTAATAAATGCTATTTAATAAATGCTATGTTATGACGAATGTTTTAGATCCGTTTGCTTTTACAAATTCTTATCTCTGGAAAAAAGTGAAAAAAAAAAACGTTTTTTGCAAATCTTTAACAAATTCGGAAAGGGATGGATGGATGAATGGATTAATCTCATATTGGGTGGAAATAAACACATCTGAAAAAATAAAATTAAAAGCAGGAAAACTCCACACGGTCTCCTTCTCCTCCGCCTCCCCCCCTTCCTTCCCCTCTCCTTCTCTTCCCYCCCCCCCCCCAAGCCCTGCCCTCTCTTCCGCGACCTCTCTCCCCTCTTTTCCGCCCCCTTGCCCCCTCCGTTTCATCGACCCATTCCATAGAGCCCCTCATTAAGCAGGGGCCTGATGAATACAAGGCGTTAATTGGGGCGAAGGGAGGCGGGGAGGGGGTGGGTGGAAATATGGCGTTAATGGGGAAAAGGGGGAGAGGCGGGGGGGGGGGGGGGGGGGGGGGGGGGGGGGGGGGGGTACTCAGAGTACTCAGAGCAAGAAGGTGAGAAGACTGAAAGAATTGGCGAGAAAAGAACATCTAAGCAGGCATAACAACAGGAGGCCAAAACATTGAACGTGGAGGAGGCGAGGAGGGGAGGGGAGGGGAGGGGAGGGGAGCGGCGGGGGGGGGGGGGGGGGGGGGGGGGGGGGGGGGGGGGGGGGGGGGGGGGGGGGAGGATGGTGAAAACGGATATGTCGGGGGTGCTTGATGAGGGCTTTTAGGGGAGATGGTAGAAAGAAGAATGGATGCTCCTCTATGTAGGCGTAGGCACCATCTTTGGGAAAATAATAATAATAATAATAATAATAATAATAATATAATAGTAAGAAGAATAATAAAAGAAAAAAAAAAGAAAAAAGAACTCGTCGCTCTGCTGAGCTTGCGGGTTGGTGATATGTGGTTCGAATGGGTGGGTAGGTGGCGGGAAAAGCTTGGGTGGCGGGGAAAAAAAAACAAAAAAAAAAAACGTCGCTCTGCTGAGCTTGCGGGTTGGTGATATTTGGTTCGAATGGGTGGGTAGGTGGCGGGAAAAGCTTGGGTGGCGGGAAAACTATTTGGGCGATGCGATGGGGTTTGGGTGGCGGGAATTTTTTTTGGGGGATTGTTCGGGAGATGGGGTCTGGGTGGCGGGAAGAATTGGTCGGAGCTGGGTGTTCTCTTTCTGTTTAGTGTT